TTTGATTTTTGAGAAATAATATGAACCACAGACATACATATAGGGGAAAGGTGTACGAGATGATCCCCTGGGGCAAGATGATCCTTTTGAATTTTGGCGAGCCTATTAGCGCCACCTTTTAGGCAAATGCGGTAATACGTTGCCAATGACATATCTATGAATCAGTCAAACTGTCATGACAACACGCGTCATTAAAAAAATTCTATTGGAAAAAATAAAAATTTCATACTTTTGATCTAAGGAAAGCTTAACTTTGGGCTTAGATAACTTTTGTTGTAGTAGCTGAAATTCCATGTTTCTTGTACTCACGGCTTCAGTATATCTTCAACTAAGTGTTCTGATTGGTTTTATGGAATAACAGAGCTTGTAGGTTAAGTTACGAACAAATTACAAAATAGTGGCATTTGGGGCAAGATGATCCCTCAATGGGTGTACAAGATGATCCCCCCTGATTCCCATGTATTTCGCCTCACCTCAAAGTGAATTTTCTAGTATTAATAAAAAATTCAATTTTTCTCGCTTCTTATATGTTTTTATTATGAAAACTAACTTATCTAAAATAAAAAATTGACATCTACATCTATTTTATTAATTTTCTCGTTGTAGACAATGCCTCGTAATTTTAAAATAGGAAAACGAATCGTGGTGAGTGGTCAAAAGCGTTTATGGCCTAAATAAAGTATATTTAATAGTGATACACTGTTATTCCTTCAATTTAGACTCATTTTCCAATAATTGGGGTAAGATAACCCTACGGATCATCTTGTCCATACCATGGGGATCATCTTGGACACCCCGGTGTCCAAGATGATCCTTTTGTAAGGTTTTGGAAAAATTAAATTTAATAGTAAAATATTAATTAGCTGCAAATATTTCAAATCAGAATAGTTAGATAGATTAATTATCTAGTAGTGCGTACAAAAAAACTCGAATATGTTGATTTTTCTTTGAATAATAGGTTTTTTCCCTTAGGGGGATCATCTCGTACACCTTTCCCCTAATCAAATAGAAAAAGATTAACCACTTAAAATTCTGAAAGATCAAAAGAAAAGCAGAAATGATGGCATTGGCATATTTTGTTTCGTAAAATAAGTCAATTTATTTTTAAAATACATAATTTGGGGAATTTTAGAGAAATTATAAATGATTGCAGAAATTCAATTGTATTCAAAAATTTTTTTAAATTCTGGTAAAAATTTCTATTATCTTTATAAATAATAAAATTCTTCTCCGAAGTTCTATTATTTTAAAAAATTTTAATAAAATTCTTGGCAAAATTTCAATTATTTTCAAAAATGTTCCTCAACATTTCAACGTTTTTCAATATCTACTATTTTAATAAAATTTTTCCAAAACAATCTAATTATTATTTAAAAAATTTTTTATTATTTTTATAAAATAATAAACATTTAACAGGAATTCAATTATTTACAAATTCAATACTATTTTAAATCAATTAATCGAAAAATTCAATTATTTTCAAAAATAAAGTTTTCCAGAAGAATCCAAATAATTTAAAATAAAATTTTCATAATATTTCTTATATATTTCGAAAAAATTAATTATTTAAAGCAATTTTTATAAAATTCTTATGAAGAATTCCATTATTTTCAAAAATAATAAAATTTTTCACAAAAATTTAATTCTTTTTAAACATTTTAATAAAATTTTTTGCAATAATTCAATTATTTTAAATAAATAATATAAATTTTTCAGGAATTCAAATTTTTTTTTAAAATTTTAATAAAATTCTTTGCAACTATTCAATTATTTACATAAATAACAAAATCCATTACCGGATTTCAATTATTTTTAATAAAATTTTATAGAAATTGCTAAAAAAATGTAATTATTGTTTAAAAAAATTTAATTTCAATTCCTCGAGAAAATCAGTTACTTAAAAAAATGTTTTTTTTAAATTCTTTGGAAGAATTCAATTATTTTCGTAAATAACAATATTCATTACAAGAATTCAATTATTTTTAAAAACTTTTCACAATTCAATGATTTTCTATATCTACTATTTTTATAAAATTTCCAAACAAAATTCAATTATTTAAAAATTTTATGTAAAAATCTTCGTAAGAGTTCCATTTTTTTGAGAATAATAAAAATTTCTCAGGAATTCAATTAGTTTTGAAATTTTTTTGTAAAATTGTTAACAACTATTCAATTATTTTCATAAATAATAAAAATCATGAAAGAATTTCAATTATTTTTAATACAATTTTAATCGAATTCTTCGGAAAATGTAATTATTCTTTAAAATTTTATTAAAATTCGTCATCAATTAAAAAATTTGTTGGTAAAATTCTTTATGAGAATTAAATTTTAAGAAACATTCAATAATTCAATAAATTATTTATTTTTGTTTTCAAATAATTGAATTCTAATAAAAATTAATTTCAGTTAAAATTTTAGATAATAATTAAATATTAAAAGCCGTATAGCATGTATTTTTATAATTAATTGAATTTTTTTTAATTGAAGTTTTTATTTTCGAATATATATTTAATTGAAGAATTTACTAATAATTGAGATTTCGTAAAAGTGATTTAAAGATGAATTTTAGTTAAAAATTGTTGAAAATAATAATTCATAGTTGTGAAAAATTTAATTTATAATTTTAAGTAAAATGTTCTCTTATTTGACTCGGACTGCTGATATATTTTTTTTTCGTAATTCTTCATTTTTGGCCCGTAAAATACATATTTTTAAATACTGTGTCACTGGTTCGAGCCCTGATAATTTTTTTAAAAATGTTCATTTTATATTCATAATTTATAACGTTGGTGACGTTTACAATAATTTAGAAGAAAAAATAATTTTCTATTCAAACTTTTGTCTTAATAAAACTTTTACAATATTTCTTGAACAAAAAGTTAAAAAAGGATAATTTGGTAAACGTAAATATTGTTTTCTGAGTGAAAAACAGTTTTTTTTCTTCAAATCGTTGATGACAAACGTTGTGAATACTTCTCCCACGTCATTTATAAGTGTTATCAAATAAAATTTAAGGAATGTATTTTTTATTATGTCGATTCTTAAAACCTGGAAAAAAATTTTAGAAGGCCTGGAAAACCTGGAAATGTCAGGGAAATTTTTTTCAGATTAGTTGTAGACACCCTGATCAATATATTTCTTTTCTCGCTAAAGAAGGGCAGTCAAGATTATAAGTTGATCTTGCGAAAATGCAACATTTGGTTTTGGTTGGGGTTATATCCATACCTAGATTCCTTAGTCTAATCAGGATTCTAATTCAGACCTGAGGTCTAACATTGCTAAATGCTACTTTAATGTCTATGGATATAGCATTTTTTACAAGTTGATGGAGGTGATTTTTATTTTTTGACGAGATCTAGGCGACAACTGATTGGAGCATTGAAATGTGTTACTAGAACCTAAAGCAATTACGTTTAAATCACAGGATCTCTAATTGTTAAAATTTTTTAAAGAAATTTAATTCTAAACTAAAAGACAGGGTCACACAGACCCTGCATGTGCGTCATAAATATCCGATCATGATTGAGGAAGAATATCTTTCCAGTGGAAATGTAAAGTGTATATAGAATAATAGAATTCATCTATTAGCAAATCCAATTAATAAATCTAATATCAGTCTCGGTATCTTCGTCCGATTGTCTTTGCCATGAGACAAGGAAAGTGCTGTAGAAGAGTTGGATTTTGAAACGGTATTCAAGATATTTGAATGAAATAAACCACTTTGAGCACGAGAGGGAGACAAGGGTGAGTTCAAATCTGATGACAAGTCTATTACGACCTCTTTCTCTTCCTTCGCTGAGCTCTCCAAAATTATCTCACATCCCGGGCGAGCCCTATTGATTCTGAAATCAATAGGGTTCAGTTTCATAGTACGCTTGCTTTGTCGAGAAGAAGGTGGTTAAAATGCAGAAACCAGTGTTTGAAGGATAAAACGCTAAACTTGTTGATGGGTACGTACATCTGGTTATGTGTCCTTTTCTATACCATTCAACATGTACCCGACACACAGCACCGGCATTCCTTACAGTTTCCAAAATAAAGTTTTTTCGGCACTGATTTTTTTCTTTTAAATACTCCTTTTTCTAGAACATTATTCATATTCAATACACATTAATAAACTTTGTCCATGCAATAATAATGCTTTTTTCTAACATTTTTAATCACTAACCTTGTGTGTTTTCCACAAACAGTGCTAGAAACTGTTGGAAAAATTATATATTTCGCGCTTGCACAGTATAAATTCCTGAAATGAAAAGGCCAATCACCACAACGCCAGTATATGGCCAACGATAAACCCAATTCATTGATGAGAAGTCTGGAAGGGAGGACTGGTAAAGGGTAACTGGTAACAAATTTTTTTGTACATGTCAATCGACACAAAAGTTTTTTTAAAAACATTTTTAAAAGTGTCACACATCGAAGCGAATCAATCGAACAAGTGTGTGCAATGAGACAGTAAATTTACTTTAATTTGTGATTTAATACTAAACGCCACCACAATAAGCTTGGTGTTGAGTCGTAAAGGAAGACAGAAGGGAAGAAATAGGGGAAACAAGAAACAGGAAATCAAAAACAGCAGCTACGTACCACGTTGAACATAAGTGTTCGTATGTCACTCACTTTGAAAAATGAATGTCATGAGTCAATCGAGAAAAAAACATAAATAAGAAAACGATCACTAGACAAGTTATTCTTTAACGTGCTTGTATTTTAATTTTTTAATTAGAATTTCAGGTATTTTGAAATTGGTACTGTGTTCTTTGTATTCTACATTTAATTTACTATCCAAAACATGTCTTCAAATACGAAGTCTGATTCCATTTGAAAGTAATTAATAAGTTACTAAACGTATGCATTTTTAAAAATTTTCTTTCACTAATGTCTTACCTAAACTAAAAAATTTAAGTAAAATTGAAGTACAACCGTGTAAATTGAACTGAGAAACGGTTTTTGAAACTAATGTATTTGTAATTTTGATCATTGTTTTTTTATTACAGATCTTTGAAAAAGCACTAGATGAACCGAAATACAGTTCTATGTACGCACAGCTGTGCAAAAGATTGGCAGAAGAGGCACCGAACTTTGAAGCTCCACATGCAACCGTCGATGGACAGAAACCACAGTCAACATTTGAGTTGCTTTTACTCAAAAAATGCAAAATTGAATTCGAAAACAGATCCAAAGCCACAGAAGCATTTGATAATCAAGATGATCTCGGAACAGAAGAAGAAGAACGACGCCAAGTCGCTAAGCGTAAGATGCTTGGCAATATTAAATTCATTGGAGAACTTGGCAAATTGGAAATTGTTTCAGATAAAATTTTACATCTGTGCATTAAGCAGTTGGTGGAGAGAAAGCGTGGAGGATCCCGGGGGGACATGGCTGAGGACATCGAATGCCTCTGCCAAATCATGCGTACATGCGGGCGTATTCTTGATACGCACGTTGGCCAAGGTCTTATGGAACAATACTTCAAACGTATGAGTCAATTGGCAGAGAGAAGTGATCTCCCTTTACGTATTCGATTCATGCTGCGCGACGTGATTGAATTACGCCGCGACGGCTGGATACCGCGCAAAGCTACTAGTACTGAGGGTCCAATGCCCATCAATCAGATTCGCAATGACAACGATGAATCGTCCAGAAGTGGTGGTTATCACAGACGTGAAGATCGCATTTGTAATGATTTTTTGCGACGAACTGCACGCAGTTCGTTGGATATGGATATGGTGAGCAGTATTCCACTTACTTCTCCCCCCTTTGGAATTACATCTTTTAGTCCCAATGGCTTCTCGCCATCACCTGCAATAAGTTATACTCGTCATAATCAACGCAATCCATCTACTTTCTACCCAAATCAAAATCGCCATCAGATAAACTACCAAAGTAAACATAATCAACAACAACACAACTCATCTCAAAACTTCAATAGTAAGTTCTTTTTCACTACTATTTTTATATTTTAAACAATGCTTTTTATAATATGAGCGGGTGGTCTGGTAACATATCTGACTTTTTCTTTCCATCCGCTCAAATTATGTTAAATATATGGTTAATTATGGAAACAGATTTTCACAAATTGTTGAAACTGTGTTAATAATATGTTAAATATTTCATTTCAACATTTTGTGAGATAAAATATTTTTCTCCAGCGCCTGCTCTGAAAGGAGTAAACGTCGTTGGAGTAAACGTCGTGTGCAACTGGTGGTGAAAAATGATTTTGTTCGCAAAATCACTCATTTTCACCACTAGTTGTACAATGTACTATTTAAAATTATATGAATGTGATTTTTAAAGAAATAGTTATCAGTGCAGTAATAATTATAATATAAACAATACTTTTAAAAAATATACAATTTAAGGGAAAACAGTGGGAAATCAGTTTTTTAAAATTGAATGGAAAAAAATTTGCTTTAAAAAAGTTCTTTGTTTTCAAGAAAGTTGTGAATAATAATAATAATGTAATATATTAATATATTTAGGGGAGAGGTACGCACGTTGAGACGGTCCACACGTTGAGACACTAAGATATTATAACCTGTGTAACTGATAATACCAAAAAGTTTATTGGCATTTTGTCGTATCATTAATACCAAACTTTTTATTCAATAGAAGCGCAATAACTTTTGTTTTTTCGGTAGAACTAGAGCGAACCAATTTTTTAGTTAAAAAAATTGTTTTTCAGAATTTCTGTTTAGTGTATTTACTGTATTTTTTAGTGTCAGAAAACGTGCGGTAACATTTACATATTAATTTTGGTTCTACTTTAATGTTCCGACGAAAATTTAGACTTACGTTAACATCTACAAATAATTTCAAAGCTTTAAAAAAATAACGGCAAGGCTTGCACGTTCAGACACAGTGTGGTACGCAGGTTAAAACGCTCACGGTGTAAAAAAAGTACTGTCATTAAAATTGATTTTGAATCCCCAATTTTTAAGCGTTTTACATGTTCTTCACCTGTAAAAATTGCGAATATAAAAATTTCGATTAATTATTTTTGTGCAAAATAAAATTTTATTTTTTGATTATCTTCTTTAAGTTAATTTTTTATGTTTTAATTTTCTTCTTTGGGCTAAGACCATCAAAATAAGTAAATAAACAACAAACAATTAGAATCTGACGCAATTATTCATTTTGTTTCAATTTAAAATAAATTACTATGGGTGTCTCAACGTGCGTACCACTTTTTTTTGTCAAAAATAACATGTTTAAAAAATCAGCTATAAATCTTTCATTTTTGTCCAAAAATATAAAAAACCTCTATTTCGAAAAATTACCGCTTGACCCTTTTTATCATGTTAATTTTTAAAAATTTTGTAACTTTTATTTAAAACCTATATAATAAGGAAAATACAAAATTCTAGTTATATAAAAACAACTCAAAAATGAAAGGACATAAAACATCTTTTTATGAATTGCTGCTTTTTTATTACCTCCCTGCTCTTTAACCCGAGTATCTTCCATTTATTTATTTGAAAAAATTTAATTCGAGAATCATATAAATAAAACTCCCAGTGTAACTTGAAGCTAAATAGTTGTATTTAATATCAAAGTAAAAATGAAATAGTTATAATTAATTTTAACAAAAGTATAAATTTATTTCCTAAAAAATTGAAAAATGACAAATATAATGTCATATTTTAAAAATGCAAAATAAGTATCGGTTGCAATATGGCAGTCGAAATTTTAAAAAATGGTTAATTTTTTATATTACTTTATATCTGTTGATTTTCGGAATCGATGATAACGAATCTGATATCAGATTTTTTAGAATCAAAATGGGGAAGTACAAAACTGAAATTAAGATTTAAATATTCAAATGTGATTTATTTGTAGTTGATATTTAAAGTTAGGTTTATTATTTAAATTTAGCTATAGATATATACAGTTCTAAGCCAAATTTGACATTTAAAAAAAAATTGCAATACACGGAAATGACGTTTACGTAAAGGGTTAATTTTTTTTTAATATCGTTTTGTCATCTTTTACCATATTAGATTCAATATTCTGAATTTTAAAAATCTGATATTAATTTCGTAATCAGCGACCCCAAAAAATACCCATTTTCCAAGTTTCATAAAAAATCAACAATTTTTAAGAAAGATGATTTGTGCCCTGTCACTTAAGGGTTGTTTTTGCACGTCGAAACCGTAAACGAATTGATCTAATGAAACGAATTTCAATATATTTGTGTAAAATTATAAATTTTATTTTGTAAAATTGTAAATTGTATATATACATACTTTCTTATATAATATGAATGAAATAAAAAGAAGTAACTATTTTATTTCTAGGTGGCAACAAAGACCAACTACGTTTTAACAAAAGTAAAATGCTAATCGGTCATCCTGAAGAAGTCTCTTTGCGGCCGTCAGCAAATTCAATGATGTTCAAACAGTCAACTATCACTCAAAACTTGCCTTTGAATAATGGTATGAATTTTTCTTTTTTTTCAATTTCTATAGATCAATATAAGTTTAGGATAATAAGTAGAAGTTTTAAAAGTTATAACATATTAGTGTATTTGTCGGAAGATCAGACAAAACAAAAAATATTTTTTTTTACAATTTTTTGGTTCTGTTTTTAGTTTTTCCTTTTTATGTTACTTTAATTATTTTTATTAGTATTACTTTTTACAAAAAGGCTTCTATCATTTTGGTAGCTTTTCTATTAGGGAAACACTATTTTTACAGATAGGTGTTATGAGAATACTTTTCTTTACTTTGGTTTTAAATTTGCACCAAAAAAGCGTCAATCGTGACCTGACCCCGAGCGGTGAAAATGAGGAAAAGACGTAATGACTATTTCTGTGATTAATAATGTCGGCTATCATTTTTTATGTATGCAAACATAATATTCTCATATTTTTTGGATACGCTGATCACAAAAATAACACTAAAAACTTAATATTTTGAACTTTTTATTGATTTTTAGTACGTTTACAAACTTCTGACACCATTTGTAGAAATTGTTGAAAATTATTTTCATTCAATATGCTAAAAACAATTAAAACTTCAAAATATTGAATTTTTATTGTTATATTTGTGATCATCTTAGACCTTATCCAAAAAATAAGAATACTAGACATTAAGGGGATCCCACATACCGACAATGCAGATCAAAAATGGTTAAAAATCTGCAACGACCGTTTCTTGAAAAATATAAGGAATTATGACCTATAAATTTGTGAAAGTCATTTTTTATTATAAATACATAGGATGAGTATTTTATTTGTTGTAATTATTAAAAAAAATATATTGTTAGAAAATTAAATATGGTCAGTTTCCAAGAGCCCAAACTGCAACGACCTTTTCTTGAAAACAACAAAACAAAATAATTTTTCCATTTAGCAAACTTAATTTTAATAAAAAATACACATAATAAGATTCATTACATATGAAAACAACAATAAAAAACTTTAATTAATGTATACTGTTTTGTATAGCAATTTACAACAAGAAGAACACATGTGACAGCTTTTAGTAGTTCATAGAACCAAGAGATGACGCCAAAGGTTCCAAAACTGACAAATTTTGATTATTTTTAGCTTTAAATTAACAACAATAAAATATAATATCATAAGATGGTAAATGGGGTTTTTCTGTGATAATAATTATTATAAGATGGTAAGGTGTCAATTTAGCGGATATATATTTATTTCGCTTATCATCGATAAGACAGAAATCAATATTTCAAAATTAATACTTCATTAATATTTGAAAATATATTTTATTTTGTGCATGGTTTCTGAAAAAAATGAATCGTCTCTCATGAATCGTCTGTAGCTCAATTGGTAGAGCATCCTACCGGCAATAGGAATGTTTTGGGATCATACCCCAGCGGTGAGAGACGATTCATTTTTTTCAGAAACCATGCACAAAATAAAATATATTTTCAAATATTAATGAAGTATTAATTTTGAAATATTGATTTCTGTCTTATCGATGATAAGCGAAATAAATATATATCCGCTAAATTGACACCTTACCATCTTATAATAAAATATAATGTTTTCTTTTCGAGTAAAAATTCATTAGTGATGAAAGACACAATGAGAGACATTTATTTTGTTCAAATTGTTAAAGAAAAGTTAATGCTAGTAAATTAAATATCAAGTGCCACCGAACAGCTGTCACATATACACTTTACAAAAAATAAAGTTTTTATTTATTCCTGAATGGCAAATGAGTCTCATCCTCCGTATTTTCCTACAAAATTAAATTTCCCAAATGGAAAAATAATTTTGTTTCGTTGTTTTCGAGAAATGGTCGTTGCAGTTTGAGCTAGTAGTCAAAGATGTGTTACAGGGAAACTGCCCATATTTAACTTTCTAACGATAATTTTTTTCAAATAATTACAACAAATAAAATACTCATCCTGTGTATTCATGATAAAAAATGAGTTTTCCAAATTTATAGGTAATAATATCTTATATTTTCCAAGAAACGGTCGTTGCAGATTTTTAATCATTTTAGATCTGCAATGTCGATAAGTGGGATCCCCTTAATAATCGAGATATTTTTAAGATATTTTTACCGTTCTGGGCAAAGTCACACTTGTCGCCTTCTTGGCAACGTACCGTTGAAGTGGTTAATTTGTTTGAAATGAATATTTCTGAAGAATTAAAAAAATTCGCCTGTTTAAGAAAGTTAGATGAAAAAAGGTTAAAAGAGTTAAATTGCGTAAATACCTAATGTGGTAGAAGATTAATAGTACATTATGCAACAAGGGAGGTAAGTCCGAGTTTATGAACCGAGCACAATATTGAAAAACGAGGTTACCTCCCTTGTTCCATACTTTGCTTTATGCAACGAAAGCATATTATGGTTACTCTATGCTACCTGTACCGGTGCATGCTAAGTTCTCCCATATAACCCAGCTGGTCAATAAAGTAAGTATTATTGCCCTAGGGAGATAAAGGATACTTTATTGACCTGTGAGCGGTCAATAATGTACCCTTTATCTCCCTAGGGCTATAATGGTTACTTTATTGACTGCTGGGTTGTAAGGGGGAACTTAGTACGTGCCTGTACAGGTAGATAAAGTGACCATAATACGCCTGAGTTGTATAGACATTTTTAAGGCCAAGTAATTTTCTTGAAGTTGCAAATTTCACCGAAAAAATAAAATTTTAATCTGTACCCCAGAAAAGTTAGCTCAGACAAAGTTCAACCCAAAATTTCTTGCACGTCTAATTTTTCTCTCTCATTGTTTCAGTATAATGCCACACAATAATTTTAAGGCGAAAATGAAAATATTCGGTCGATTTTTTTATGGTTATTGTATAGTTTTATTAAATTAACGCCTAAAAACTTTAGTGCGACTTTAAATCTTCTTATTATCATCGAGGTAGATGTTCCATTATTAACAAGGTTGATAACTAATTTAGAACCCTGCAAAAGTCTAAAATATAGTTATTTAAAATAGTCGTTTTTCATCAATTTTTAAAAAAATTTAACTGTGAGCTATTTTTGAGTAAAATGGTGCAAAGAGAAATCAAAGTACTGAAAATTCTGATTTAAATTTAAAAAAATTGATTTATCTTGCTTAGTGTTCAAGAATTATCATTTAACCCCTTGCGCCATTGTAGAGTTTTTAAAGAACAACTTCTGATTTTTGATTGAACTTAGTCCAAGCTCACTGTGCCAAATTAATGGGTTATACTACCCAGGTGCACTAAAAAATGAAAGTTTTTTGGGAATTTTTTTCTTGGAAACTATTTTATGGATCAAAATAAAATTTTGAGGCTTTATTATACACGTTTTGAGGTGCAAAAAAAAAATTTTTATTTATAACTTTTGATACAAAATAGGGCCTTAACTGATGTTAAACAGAAAATGAGTTTTTTTCGAGAAGCGAATCTGCGTACAACATAACATTTTCCGAACAGCACCAAGAGAAAAAAACAAAATTTGTTGTTAATCTACATTACTTTTGCTAGGGAAGTACCCACGATTATTTATTTTTATGAAAAATTCACATATTGGCATCAGTTTTAACATTTTTAAAAAATGTTTAACTAAAAATCGACTTTAAATTGTTTATAATAATCTTAATTATTTATGAATCTTAAAAAGCGTGTGTACTTCCCTAGATAATTTATCTGAGAAGTTACAGTTAAAATTCCAAATGAATCCGTCAAAAATTGAACGAGTTATAAAAACTACAAAAAGAAAAAATTGTTTTTTTTAAACCGTTATTTGCGATTCGTAGAGGGCGCCAAAAATGGCGATCTCAAATTTGTAAGAGTTTGCGGTGCCCTCCATAGAGCCGCTCCTGACAGTCTAAAATCAAAAAAACAAAATTTATTCCTTAGTATACATTAATACCTAGTGGACTAATGTGATGAAATTAAAAAAGTAAAAAAAAACGAAAATAGCGTCCTTTTAAAGTCAAAAATTCAAAAGATCGAAATCATCATTTCTTAAAAATTGACTTTAAAAGAACGCCATTTTCGTTTTTTTTACTTTTTTAATTTCATCACATTAGTCCACTAGTTATTAATGTATGCTAAGGAATAAATTTTGTTTTTTGATTTTAGACTGTCAGGAGCAGCTCTATGGGGGGCAGCACCGCAAACTCTTACAAATTTGAGATCGCCATTTTTGGCGCCCTCTACGAATCGTAAATAAAGGTTAAAAAACGAAACAATTTTTTTTTCTTTTAATATTTTAAATAAAAAGATTGAAAAAAACATTAAAGTGGGGCCTATTTTTTGCCTTCGCAAACGCAAGTACGCCTTAAAATTTTAAATTATCATGTATATAAATCGACCTGGAAAATTGCCGAATAATGAGTGTGATACCATTCCTATGAAATATAAAGAAATTTCGTATAGCTGTGCAAAATAATTCGAACCGAACTGTTCGAATTTTTTCGCCTAGTTCGAATGTCGAAAATTCGACATTCGAGTTACTACAAATTTCGAACCGAACCGAGTTTTGTTCGGTTTTGGTACGCTAAAATGTCGAATTCTAAAATTCGACATTTCAGTCGCCCAGTTCGAATGTCGAATATTTGACATTCGAACTAGCCCAGTTCGGATGTCGAATATTCGACATTCGACATTTCGGCGCCCCAAAACCGAACAAAACTCGGTTCGGTTCGAATTTTGCACAGCTCTAAAATTTCGCCATAGTGGATAGACTATTTGGAATTTTAAAAAGTAACTTTAAATTCGTTATCCCTAAAAACATAAAGATACCCAAGTTCATAAAAATCCATTACAATTTTTTTGCAACTCTTTTTGGCCTAAAAAGTAGAAATGTCTTCGATAGGCATGATATTAACAAATGTTCGTCTGACTTTGTCAGCCTCAATATTTTGAATGTTTTTATTTATTAATTAATTAAAAAAGAATTGAAATTTTAAGAGTCTGAAGTGTCGTTTCTCTTTAAGAATTTAATAGGTAACAGTTTCTTTAATAAAGTAATGTGACATTATACTTTTATTATAGGTGTCGAATTGTTCCCGGGAAGACCAACTGAAGTGTCGTTATTGCGCACAACAACACTAAAACAAAATCCTCCTCTAATGCACAAAGAAACAACACCGTCAATTGTTATCAAACAGGGACCCTTAGATAAACGTGATAAAGCTCGGGAACGTAAAGATAAAGGACCTTCCAAGGAAGACATTTTAAAGAAAGTTAACGCTCTCGTGGACAACTTTGTCTCCCACGCAAACATTCAAGATTGTGTAAATAGTTTTAAGGAGCTTAAGATTCCAGAGCGTTTCTTACGCCACGCTATTTATACACTTTATTCGAACACCTTGGAAAGAAGTGATGTTGATCGAGATTTAATAAGCAAGATTGTTGCTCAGCTAAAGAAAGACGGCGTTATTACTGGGTTACAAGTTATTGAGGGCTGGAAGGAGCTTGTTGCAAGCATAACTGAAAAGGAAAGCACTGTGCCTTGTGTAACATCACACATTGCATTTTTGACAGCTCGAGCCATCATTGACACCATGATTCAATTATCAGATGTTGCTTCAGTCACAGAAAATGGTCAACATTATCCACTTTTCCTTCTCACACTCCAACAACTTCATAAAAGTCAGGGCAAAGCAACGCTCACACGAATTTTTAACGAAAGCAAAGTTAACTTAATGACTCAGCTGCCAGATACAGAAAAGACAAAAGAAAAACTTGGTGAAATTCTCGAGGACCGAGACTTAACATTTCTATATCCATTACTCAGAATTCAAGGCGATATGTGGAAACAATTGGAATCTGATCCATCACCCGTCAGTTTTTTCAAATGGATTAAAGAAAAACTTGATCCATTGCACCATTCAGACACCGGGTTTATCAACGCTCTGATGACTGTTCTTTTGAAATACATTACGCAGGTTAGTTTCCATTTTTTACTGGTCTATGTTATTTCCAAGCAGTATCGTTAGGCGATACAACGCTGCAGCTTATTTAACAGATTGGTAGGTCTGTATGTCAACATTTTTTTTAATTCAAGCGTATCAAATACATAATATTAAATGGGTACAAATGCATATCAAGATTCGCGGTAGAGAATTGACGCCAAGTAAAATTCAATACAAGAATATCTGCGATCCCAATTAGACGAGTAGAGCTTATCTTTCCGATGATATGGCATCTCTGCTGTCTCTCTGTGGTGTTTCAACGTCACAATGAGGAATAGCAGGCGTCCAAAATGACGGAAGAGCAGCAACACTTTGTTTAGCATAGCAGCAAGAGCATATATATTTTAGAAACTTTCAGTTCTTTAAAAAATTTAGAAATTTTTTATTTTTTTTATTTTAAAAAATAGTTTTTTTTTGTTAATGGGATAGACATAAAGCCTACAATACTGGACCCATTCATATGAAACTCAGGAATAATTTCCACTTGATAAAAATTTATTTATTTAATTGAGAATCATTTTTTCATCAATTTCCTTATTTCGAACAAATAGTTATTGTCATTTACCTATTAACTATTCATATAGTAGGTACAGTGCTCTAGTTCAATGTATTAAAAAGTTAAGTATGATATAAAATTGCAAAATGAACTTGGTAGGATATTTATTAGAACCTAATGTTATATTATAGTGATCACAAATTAGACGGTTTTTTAAGAATTTTTTTTGACGAGAATATTTAAGATAAGACACTTTTATTTTATAAAAATATAATTTTATAAATATATTTATATAAATATTTTATATTTAAATATATTATAGAGAAGCATTGACAGAAGTGGGCCACCCGCCGTTTTTGGTTTTACATAAGTGACATATCTGTCAACCGAAATTTTTTTTCTTTTGTTATCAACAGAAAGTCGATTTTCAGTTAGTCATTAAAGAGTGCGACGTACAATTGTGTTCTCCAGCAATTAGTGCCAAAAATTATCTACTTTTTCTTTTTTTCTCATTGTAGAAGTTATCGTTGTTTACATAAGGTATTCATCGAATTCAATCGAGCAAGTAGCCTTTTATTATAGTATCAGACCTAACCTTAAAAAATTTAAAGGGACTGTTTCTTATTGTCGCGAGGTGTTATGGCCACGTTATTTCTCGTCAAATTATGCTTGTGGGCAGAAGTTGGCCACTGCATTGACGTTATGATTCGACATTTAGTGATTTTGTATAAACTAATGAAGTGGTTCTATGAATTATTTTAATTTTTAGCAATCATGCCACACCAAGAAAGGCTAAACCGACGACTGGCTATGAACTCATTGACTACGACAAATTACTTTATGCTATAAATCAAATAAAAATTAATAAAATTTCGGAACGCACTTCTTGTGCTTGGTTTTACAATACTATTTATTGAAAAAATTAATCATTTAACATAAACAATCATAGTGCTTGATCCTTTTTATTATTTTAGATGAAAAACTTAGGTGGCCCACTTCTGTCTACAAAATCATGATATCGCAAATTTCTTTTTTAGGTCTGAATTTTTTGGATTGTTTTTTGTCCTGTAATCTTTTTGCACCACCTGGTGGGGGGAAAAGCCATTTTGTGATTTTGTCAATATATTTTGTTATAAAATTTTGTGTTATTATATTTTTCATTTATTTACATGATAAATAAATAATTTTAAAAAGTTTTTAGCAGGAATACTTGTATTTTATGTTAAGTAATAATATTATCGATAAGAAATGCAAACTAGAATAAAAAGTTGTGTGTTACTTTATTAAACCTATGTTCTAAATAGCTGGTAAAACCGTTAAGTAGTTTTAAAATAAAATCCAAATGGCTTTTTTTCACCATGACTTTTTCACCGACTTAACTCAAATAAATTTGATTATAAATCTGTGGACAAAATTTTAATAAAGACACAATACAGTGTAAAATCTTAAGTACCATAAAATAAAATTGACTTTGTATTATTTATTTACAACTTATCTTTTTATTTTACACAATTTTATCAATAGGAGTCTACTCTTCCACCTGGTGCAAACCCAACTGTTATTCCCGATAAGGCATTGCAAGATAAAGAACGTCAACTTCTGGAAAAATATCAGCGTATGTTGAACAATCTACTTCCTACACTCGAGTCTCAGTTGACAGCCATACATTCACTGCAAGTTTTTTGCTTGTCATTGAATTTTCCAAAAGGAATGTTACTGAGATGGTTCAATGCACTCTACGATTCTTCGATAATCGATGACGAGGCCTTCTTAAAGTGGAGAGAAGACGTTAATGATGCATACCCTGGAAAAGGAGAAGCTCTTTTTCAGGTAATCTATGAATTAATATATTGATAGTAATTGATAATAATCATTCACCTTTCCTTTCTTCCAATGAATGCATGTTAGACATATGAGTTTTATTATAATTTTTGCATTCATTATTGCAGGTGAACAGTTGGTTAATGTGGTTAGAAGAAGCTCAGTCAACCGAAGAAGAGGATGATGAAGATGAGGTCGTGAACTAATAAGAAGTTCCGTTAAAGACATCTCTAGAAGTAATCGACAGTTAAATAGAAATTTTATTACAATTTAGATGAATTGAACTTTTCAGTTTTATGGATTGCATTGTTTTTGCTATGTTCTGTGAATGCGCATTATGTATTGCTGCCAAAGGCACTTGTTTCATTTAGAAAAAGAAATAAGAAAAATAATGCCTTTACAATTGTATCTACCCTTTGCGAAAGTAACATGCAATATTTTTCGTGATCAGGGGATGTTTTAATGTTTTAATTAATTAAACATTAAGGAAAAAACTGATGTATAAAAATTGTATCAGCCATTATCACTGGCTCTGTATACCAATATAAATTTGTACAGATGTATAGTCATGCTTGCATTCATGCATGAATATATGTATATGTATGTATATATGTTTGTATGCACTGTCAGTCACTGATAATTGGTATTAGCGTTTATTTGAAAAAAGGAAAAAAAATTACAAACAATTGAGGGAAGTAATAAGGGTTAAGAAATCTATTTAAAACATGTAGTTTGATGATTATCCTAAATTTTTGTCTAATACATTGTGCACGTGCCTCCTTTTGTAACGTTTCTTTATCTTGGCTACACATTTAATAGGTCAACTAGGTGTGATATGTACATTCATTCACATTATCATGAGTGTAACGATGTGGTAACGAATGTTGGTCTCCACTAAACCTCAAATAGAATTCTGGTGGAGTACAAAATTCATTACTATCTCCTAACATTGCTATCAAATAGATTTGCTGGTTAAACCAACACTTCTATAAAAAAACTTACTTGACTGATTTACACGTTCGCTCTAAGAAGAACTAGAAACTTAGCTAAAAAAGATCTAAAACAACTAATAAATTTTTTATTTAATATCCTCTAATTGATATTTTATTCATTTTTATGTGAATTTTCATAAAAATTTAAATTTAAAGATTGATGTGTACATCATTTTAAATTACTATATATTGTTTTTAGATTATTACAGTAATTGTAAATTTAACAAACTTAACTTATTTCAATAAGAGGTTACAATTTATAAATGAAATGAAGACTAGAGAAGTTTTTAGCTCTTTTTACTTTTAAACTATCAATAATTGACATACAAAAAGTTTTATGAAGAAATTAGCGTATGCGTTAAAATTTTATTGTAATTGATAGTTTGAAGGCTATTTATACTTATATACACAATCAGTTTTTCTGGTAGAATCAAAATTATTAAGGAGCAATTACTATTCTCACATATTATTGTTGAATATTCTCTTCATTAATAATGAATATTATCAATTAAAAAAAATCCAATATACAAACGATCAAATATTTTTACCTTTATCAGCCGCAAATGAAAAAGGAAAATTAAAAACTGGAATATATTTTACTTTTTATGTAATGGTTTTGTAAGACTTTATAAGTTTTTAAAAATGATATACAAAATATTTCATTGTGTAGTCCTTTTGTTGTTTAAATTTGAAAAACTTTTGAAAATATATATTGAAAATCATTTCTCTGCGCTTGAAATAATATAAACGTGAAATCAAACACCTCATGCCTCAATATCTACTTGCTGCGCCATTATAACTAGTTAATTGATTAAATAATATAACGGCAACCAGCAGCCAACATCACATCCACTTAACATAAAAGTAGGCAATATTATAGTAACACATTAAGAAATCAGCGAATAAACTTGGTGTAATTTATTACAAATTGTTTGTTTCATTTGTCGGACATTGTGTCTTTTCTTCTCAATCCCCTTAATCTCTAATTAAAGGATTGAATAATTTTACTCATTTTGTTTTATATGCCAAATCTCACCTAAATTAGAACAAATATTTTATTAAGGGGTTGTAGTTCTGAATTAGAGAATATTTCCTTCCATGCCTTTTTTACGAGATTCTCGTGTTTTCCGAATTTTTCCGAACGATTTCTCGCTTGAATGCATCACTACAGTTCAGTTGTAACGTTAAAAAAGATCTTTTTCAAGAATTTGTTTTCTAATAAACCATAAAATTTTTTTAAAAATATTTATTACTGGTGGTAATTGTTCGACCCTACTTTTTTGATGATTATTAAATAACTTTTAACTTGAAAAATATAATAACTAAATTTTTTTCCTTTGTATTTTCAATAAACTGATAAAATTCTGAAAAAATGTTAATTTTTTAATAAAATCTTTAACAAAAATCCCATTTTCAGTGATTTCTATAGTTTCTTTATATCTTCCGAAAAATTTTAAACGAAATGGTAATGGAGTATTACAGTATATATACAGTTTTATAGAATAGATGACCAAGTCAGGGTCGGAATTTTTTTGCTCTCTCCCCCCCCCCCCAACAGGATTAAAGTTTATTGAAAAAAATACCCCTGTTTTTTTGGTAATAAATTAATATTAACCAGTGCCTCAAAGCCCCTCAAATTTCCCATGTATTTTAAATATATATTTTATAACTCGTCAATAGTGCATCGGAATTACATGATCTAAAGTGGAAATGGAAACTAATGCTCTAAGCTTTTCGAAAATATTTGTTAGCAATGATAAAAAATTTTTTTATCAAAGTTACATAACTTTAAATGTTAGTTAAACAAGCAAGTTTTTTAATAAGTGGATAATGTTCATTTAATCAAAAAGTTTATGAAATCAGCTTATGAAAATCATTACTCGGGGGGTTTTCGCTGATTACGAATCTGGCATCAGAATTTCAAAATTCAAAATGTCGGATCCAATATGACAGACATTTTTTAAAAAAATTTTATTTTTAATCAAAACATTTTTTTTAATATCTGCCATATTAGATCCGCCATCTTGAATTTTGAAAATCTAATGCCAGATTCGTCATCAGCGACCCCGAAAACTATTAAAGCATGTTGAGATATAAAATTTTCTATGGAGGGTAAATTGAACGATTTAGGTACAGATTTCTGCAATTTAATTAAACCGTAGGAGGGTTAATATAAAATCTAGACGAAATTTTTTTTCCAGTCGGTCCAGGATTTAACAAACTTTTTATTTTTTATAGATTTTTGAAAAATTCTCAGAAAAGCAAAAAACAGTAATTTATTATTTTGTATTAGTTATCATCATTTTTTTACATCTATTGTAATACAACTGGTTTTATGAATTTATATTTATTATTAATTTGGTGATAGATTTGTTAGACACATAATGACGCTTTCTTATCTCATCTCGTACACTTTACATTTTCGTTTTTCGCCCTTCGTTAATTTGCGGAATTATTCGTACTTTTTTCTATTACCAAATTTACGTTAGCTAACATTCGGCCATCCTTACATTTATTCGTCCTCGAATAATATAAAAAATATTTTAATTTAACATTAAAGAAAATTTTACTTTCTATTTTCTAATACAATTTCCCACATAATACCATTATCATTCGTAACAATCGAAGGAAAATTCTTTACAAAATTTAACTAATTTCCATATTTGCTCTCACACAATTTTTCGTCTTCTTCTAAGGACGGTTTCCATACTTTTAATTGTTGAGCATGTGCCGTAACCGCATATCTTCTGCCCAACGCATCAACTTGCAAATCTGCGACACCGTAAGTATCGCTCGGGAAAATTTTCGTGACAATCAATGGTCCGCAAAAGAGCCTCGGCAAGCCCCATGCAAAAAATGCCCGTTTTTCGTACCTCGAATTTTGAAACTTTTTTTATACCAAATGGTCATATATGATGACCAAATAATTCCTGCAAAATTTCAAGGTGAGCATATGTCCCGTTTAGGAAATATAGAGGGTCAAAGTTGACCATGTCAAATAATGGAAAACTAACGATTTAACATTTATGCTCGAATAATAAGGTTAAGGTTATGTTATTCAGTGGTCACGTGCCCCATGAACTTTACTATGGAAAAACGTCACACTGAATAACATGACCTTAAAAAAGAAGTCGAAACAGTTCTTTTAAGATTTTTGGCTTCTAAATACGAATCAAATGTTAACCCCTTGGCTGTCAACGAGATTTCCACTGTTTGGGCCAAAAGTGTGTTGAAAAAATTTTTAATGGATTTTTATGAAACTTGGTACCCTAAGGTTTCTGGGGTCGCTGATTACAAATCTGACATCAGTTTTTTAAAATTCAAAATGGCGGATCCAAGATGGCGGAATTTTTTCAAAATTCGTTGAATTTGCTTGAAACTTGTTACTCGAGGGTTTTAAGGGTCGCTGATTACGAATCTAACATTAGTTTTCCAAAATTTAAAATGGCGGATCCAATATGGCGGACAACGAAATAAAAAATTGATCAGATTGGCTTAAAACTGAATACTTGGGGATTTTCAGGGTCGCTGATTACAAATCTGAAATCAGTTTTTCAAAAATTCAAAATATCTGGTTCAATATGGCGGAAAATTTGTTAAAATTTATTGAATTTGTTTGAAACTGGTTAATCTGACATCAGTATGATAATTTTTGGTGAAATCAAATTTCGCTAAATACCCTGAAAAATAATGACAGATTCGTAATCAGCGACCCTAAAAACCCCCGAGTATTCAGTTTCAAGCCATTACCCTACTAAAAATAAAATCAGGAATGGTCAGACAATTGGTCAGGCCGCCTGACCACTTTAATCCAGTTTTCTTACGATTCTGGATGGATCTCGTCAGAAATCTATCACAACTGATCAGGAGGAAGTTTAAAGTGGTCACAAGTTTGCTACTATCCCCTCCTCTTTGTTGACCCCGCCCATAATTGGTGACTATTTGAGACCATTTGTATCTCATTTTTGACCATATTTTTAAGCTACTTCTGTTTTATTTATTTAAACAATATGCAAAAAGTTGCAACAAATTAATTTTAAAAAATATATTTTATTAATTAATATCAGTTTGTTTACATACGGAACAACTTGAAACTAATTCCCGGAATTAAATTAAAATTTGGACCCTACGGGGATCGAACCCCGACGCATGACCTAACCTAGTGCCTAAACTAACTGCCCTAACGACTGCGACTACCGAACCGACTTACATATTTCTGGATTCAACTGTCTACATAAAGAGCAACTGTAAAATAGTAAAATTCAATTACCAAAATTATCAATAAATCAGAATAAACTGTTAAATAATTTTTATTAATTAATTATATTTCAATTTAGTCATAATAGGTTATGTGAATTAATAAAAATTAACATTATTAATTGAATCAATAATAAATTAAGTCTTAACTTTACAATTTGGAATGTTTCATAAACTATAATACGAATACAGATTAATAATAATTATTATTATATCTGCATTTAAAATGAATTTAGTATTTAATATTAATTTAATTTAACATTATAATTTATAATAATAATGAATTATTAATAATTTAAATATAACTTCATTTCAATTATAATGCAAATACTTCTCATAATAAGTACTGACTGGTATAGAAAATTACTAATATTATGAAACAAAATTTATTATTAATTAACTATATTAAATAATTACAAGTAAATATACATATATATTAAATTAATATATTATAAATATACATTAAATAAATATATTAAATAATGTTAAAAGAATGGTCCGAATGTTTTGATTTATTTACCTACTTTTGCTGTATAATTAATTCAATAATTATACCAATTTGAAAAATGAGAACTTTTGTTAAGTTAAAAGAACAATTTTTATAATAGAATAATGTATTCTGAAATGTAAAAAATAAATTTGAAAGATTTTATATGTATATATAAATTTTCATGAGACTTTACCAAAATTAGAAAGATGTACCAAAATTTTTATAGGTTATGTGTTCACACATTTTAGAAATAGTCAAGAATTTCAGAAATGGTCAGGAATTTCAGAAATGGTCACAGCTTCGAAAATGGTGGGAGTAAAGTGGGAGGAGCTTGGAAAGTATTTGGTTAGGAATGGTGAGAAACGTTCAAAAACGTCAGAAGTGGTGAGACTGTTCAGGAATGTTCAGAAATTCTGACCATTCATGACGATTCCTGATTTTATTTTTAGTAGGGAGGGTCAAAGTTGACCATGTCAAATAATGGAAAAATAGCGATTTAACATTTATACTCGAATAATAAGGCTAAAAAAAGTCGAAATAGTTCATTTAAGATTTTTCGCTTCTAAATACGAATCACATGTTAAACTAAAAAAATTAAATATGGTGAATCCAATATGGCGGATATAATACGTCAGGCGAGTGTTTTTAAAAAATCATCGGATTTACTTAAAACTCGCGATACACGGGGGTTCTTGGGGTCGCTAATTATGAATTGAATGTCAGATTTGAAAAATTTAAAATAGCGGATCCAATATAGGGTGTTTACGAGATGTACGCCTCGAGGCGCCCCGGAGCCACAAAAGGTTCTCAACTAGAATTTTATTTGTAACATGGGTTGAACATATGAATGAGCTTTAGGCAACACGTATTATTTATTTTTCTACATTTTCTTCCCATGTGAAATGTTTGTTTATGTTAAATAAAGTGATGTGACAATTAAAAAATAATTAAATTATTTTTGTATCATCAGTGAAAACATAAAAGATAATGTGAAATTTGTTTTAATTTTTTGGATATTCCATGTTATGGTACGTTGTTTTGATGAAATTTTGCTTGTAAAAATATGGATAACATTTTTAAGGTTAGTTTTAATTTCATGCAATTATAATTCAACTAAATAATAATTACAGTAACATCACAGTAATATTGCGCGCTAATGTTACTGTAATATTACATGAGATTCAAGTTATACTTATTTAGTTAAATGTAAAAAACAATTTTAAATAAAAATTTTCTTTAGGATGACCAAACGATTGTTATAAATTTATTAAAAATTAAATTTTTATTCAAATCAACAAAATTTTTTTAATATAACAAATAAGATAGGCTGATTGAACATTTCAGTTCCGTAAAATAAAATGTTTCTATGAGTATAAAAAATTTCCAAATTTCTTTTTTTTTTTAGTAATGTCAAAGTTAGACCTTTTGAAGCGAATGACAGTATATTTTTATCACATTACATTATTATCTTTCATAATATTTATACGTCATTATTTCTTTTACAGACTAAAACTTTAAAAATTTATGATGAAATCTACTTTGGACCAAACAAGTTACTATCGTAGTTACTCATACCAAAATATCCATGAGAAAGAACATCAGAAAGACTTATTTTATATGTATAAAAATCATTTTCAAGATATAGCAAAACGTTTATTCAAAATTGAGAAGAAAAGATTTAATCTTAATGAGACAGAAGAAAGTGGTAAAAAGGAATCAGAAAATTAAAGAACAAAATCATAAAGAAAATTGCAACCCGGCTTTTAAAAACGACAAAAAAAGGAAGAAATAAAGTAACGAAAACAGTAAGAGCCCAAAAAATTATAAAAAGAGGATTAGGAAGATAAAAAAATGGAATGGAACTTCTAAATGGAACTTCTTTTAAGTTTATTGGTTTCTTTATTTTATCTGTTCAATTCTTAAATCACACCATCGTAATAACAAATATGTAACATATGGACACAAAAATTGTCAACACATAAAGAAGCATGCTAATTTTTTCGTGGAAAATATAAATTATAAATTTAGTAAGAGGCACTTAACAACAAAAATTTTTGTTTGTATGTTTAAAAAAATACAATTTTTAAAGAATATTACCATTCTCCTTCGAATAAAATAAGTTCTGATTAAAATAAAACTAATAGGGTGTCTACTGGTCATGGAATTCCAAAAATTGTTCTGAAAGTCCTGGAAATTTTAAGAATTAAAACTTTTGTCCTTCAATTTTATTTCTTTTGCTTCTATATTTTTAACTTAACTAGACCATTAAATAATTAGTCGTGAAAATAAAAAAATTACTTTGAATAAATTATATTTTATAGATGTACAATTTCTTAAAAAAATTGTATTTAATTTATTATAATACAATTTTATGTCTTTGAAAAATAAGCAATTTGTTCTGGAAAAGTCCTTGAAATGTCCTGGAATTTTATAATTATTTCTCAGTTGACACCCTGACTAACTTTAGCGTTTAAATGTAAATTGAGTAACATTGCTTTTCGTAAAAATAAATAAAGCTATTTGTTAATGAACATTATATTAAAATCTTCACTCGCTCTCTAAAGTTTTTATTCTTCGATAGACTAAAAAATTTCAAATTTTTGGTTTTTAAAAGTCTTACGGTGGCCCCTTTAAAGTTACAATATTATTGATTTCTAATCTCCTCTTGCATGAGCATATTCACTATATTTCTTCTCTTTTGAAGGGCAGTCGCATTATAGACATCATCTTGATCATGTAAGTCATTGACAATGTTTTGAGCTCTTTGTTCGTCAATGTTATTTAAAATTTCATCATTTACATCGTCGTCCAAATCGAGACAAATATTGTGAAGCACACAACACGCAATGATTATTAGTGACCCATATGCTACATTTTGCAAGTAAAGATACAACAATCTTCTGAATCGTCCTTTTAGTAATCCGAAGGCTCGCTCAATAACCATTCTAGTTCGAGAGAGACACTTATTAAAATTAATTTGATCTTCCGTTAAATGCCCATTGTCCTTGAATGGGACCATTAAAAATGGATGTAGTTTGTATGCAGCATCTCCAATAATATGCATGTCAAGGGGACAGACATTTTCTGGTGCTGTGATGAGCTGCTGACCCATGGGGCTCATTTCGAAAAGGCGGTTGTCGTGTACGCTACCACAGACACCAGCAAAAACATCAACAAACTTTCCCTGGCTGTCGCACATTCCTTGCAAGAGGAGGGAATGGTAACCTTTACGGTTTATGTAACTTGCGGCATTAGTGCAAGGAGCACTAATTTCCACATGACAACCATCCACTGCTGCTAAAACATTTGGAAATGGGCCAACATTCAAAAATTTGTTAATCGTTTGATTAAAATTTTCAGCTGCAGGCCATCTTATGTAATCTCCAGACACTGTGTTTAAAACCTTACTCACACTAAGCATGCAGTTCCATGCAGTGTCTTTACAAACACCAAAACGATCAGCTATCGATCTATAACAGAAAGTCAGTTGATTGTTTTTTTATATATTAATATATAAGGTCATGTTATTCAGTAGTCACGTGTTCTATATGCTTTACTATGGAAACACGTGACCACTGAATAACATACCCATAAGTTGATATTCGTGAATACACTCGATTCTCGTTATAACGACGATCTCGGGACTTCAAAATCTCGATATTACCACGGAAGGAGAGGATCCTACTTCACGTTCTATTCAAACGTCAAATACGTGCAAAATTTTTCGTAAAGTATGTTTATTTATATTAAAAGTTTTTGAATTATGGAATCAGTTTAAAGAAAAAGTAAGTATTTTTAATAATAATCGGATCACTAGATTCTTTAGGTTAAATAAAGATAAGAGTCGATTAATTTTGTCGTTTTTTTTTTTGAGTTAATTAAAATTTTGGTTAAATTAAATTCTTAAATTCGTTCGTGCTTTTTCTGTTGTTGTATCGAGAGTTTTAATGTTCGTTATAACGAGAGAATGTTGTAACGAGATTCGTTATAACAAGAATCGAGTGTAATTGTAAGATGCAGAAAAACTGTACCTATAAACTTCTTGATTGCAGTATGTCCATAGAGCAATGCAAAGTTGCTTTTCCGGACACAAAACACTTGGTCCACCATCTTTTCTAATTAGTAAGGGACCAATTGTTTCAATTAGATTTGCGAAAGTCATCCGGGTCATACGAAAGTGTTCTTTAAAATCTATAAAAGATGAATATTATGCAGCAAGGTTTTAACAAACTTTTTCAATCATGAAAATGATTTGAAATATTTAAAAAGTTTTACAAGTTTCTTGTCTTTTATATTTGTTGCAACCCTTATTTTTATTTACATAAAGATTTTCACATTCTTCACTAAATGAAAATTAATTATATATCGAAAAATTTACCTCTGGATACCAGAAATTTTAAGTTACAATTGTTTGGCTGCAAATCATAATTTTCGGGATGCGAATAGATTGGGACCGAGTATTTCCGAATGGATTTTTCTTGCTGAACACGAATCTGGGATCAAAAACTTTCCATCACGTCAAGTTTTTGAGAAAATACGGGTTGAAACCCCCAAAATAGGGTTTTTAACAGTTTTTTAAAAATAGTAGAGCAAAATCCTGACGTGATATAAAGTTCGCTGTTATCAGAAATTACAGGCTGAAACAAGTCCTATCGTATAAGCCCTAGTCCAAATTATTCGCTTGCGCTGGGGGGTGTCTTTTTGTATAAAGGTAGTAAAAGAAAATTAAATTTAAAACAGAAACGATTTCATTCCAAATTTGATCCTATTCGCTTGAAACTTTATACCAGGGAGTTTCAAGGATCACTGATTACGAATATGCAGTTACAATTTAAAAATGGCGGATTCAATAAGAACCGATTGAATTAAAAAAAATCTTCCGCCATATTGGATCTGCCATTTTGAATTTTGAATTTGTAACAGCATATTCGTAATCAGCAACCTTCAAAACCCCCTAATATTAAGTTTCAAACGAATACGATCAAATTTGGAATAAAATCGTTTCTGTTTTCATTTTCTTTTACTACCCTGAAACAAAAAGATTCCCCTGGCTCTAAGGACGCATGCGATTAATTTGGGCTAGGGCTTATTCGAAAGGCCTTATTTCTGATAACAGCAAAGTTTCTATCTTCCTCTACGATTTTTCAAAAACTGCCAAAAATGCTGTTTTTAGGGGTTTCAACCCGTATTTTCTCAAAAACTTGACGTGATGGAAATTTTTTTAGCCGAGATTCGTGTTCAACACGAAAAATCCTTCTTATAAAATAGTGTTATTCTACATTATAATCAAACAAGAAATCTTTTATTCATTTTTTTAAAAATCATGGTTTCCGACTATAGATGCATCCATTTTCAAGTAGCGCAATGAGTATCACAAAGTTTTGTCGATCATTAATCATAAATATTTAAAACTTAAAGGAATTAAATTTACATTATCTTTAATCTTGAAAAACTCCTTCAATTGATACCTATTATGCTTATAAACACAGTAGTTATTTATTATTTCAAAAAAAGAAGCCTAATATAAGATCGTAACCTTAAGTGTCTGACTACTAGTGTATTTACCCTATACATAATTAGTTTGTATGACTTTCTTTATGAGAAGTAATTTTTTTTGTCAATGTCTTTTAATTTCAGAATTATAATCTAATAAAAATTGGTCCATTTTTTGAAATTAAAATAGGGAAAATTCATTTTAATATTTACCAGACAGGGGATATAGGGGTATCACTTCCTCAAAGAAATTCATTATTCTTGGGTGCTCTTTTCTATCAGGATTAATAAAAATTCGAAGAATATCATCGTCATCGTCGTCGAAAAGGAGATCCAAAGCAACATACAATATTGCAAGATGTTGATGGTTAATATTGCCGTTTTCCATGTTTTTCTTCGTTAAATATAAACAATATATTTCTTCTGCTTGTCATATAATTTTCTTGGTTATAATTTGAACCGTAGATATCCATTTTACCGACATGTGTTATCGTTTATTAGTTATGCATCGGTAAAATGTTTATCTACATTTATCTACATTGTTTCTTTCGTCTTCTTTCACATATAAATAATACGTAATAATAATTTTGCCTTTGAAATCCAAAGTGTTTATCGTATTGGAAAGTGGCTTTTTTGTCTCTGACATCTGGGAGAGACATATTCATTACACATTTTAATTGTACGTATAACTATTTATAGAAAAGTAATTTATAAAGTTTTTTGCAGTATAACTGACGTGTAGTAATTTCAAATTGTGTTATTTCTTTTGTAGTTACAGAAATTATGAAATTCACGGTAAAGGAAATAAGTAATTGTATCCGATCATTATTTCCGGACGAGGACAGGATTCCTCTTCTCGAAAGATTGAAGCATGAATCCTATAAAAAAAAGGAATGCGTATGGTACAACATCTGTAGTAACATAATGGTCACATATACTGACAAAACAGTACGAAAACACGTACGAAGGTGTTATTATACATATAAGAACCACTTGCGAGATGTAGCAGAGGCTATACTGGAAATAGACAACAAAAAATTAATTGCTAATTCGAAAGAAAGGAGAAGGAAAAGTCAAGAAACATCGAAATTTGAAGTACGTAAGCAAAATCGACCCAGAGCTTGTAAAGATACCAAGAATGATGAAGAAGAAAAAAATAAAAAAACAAGATCAAGAAGAATTATTAAAACAAATGAATAAGAGAAAAAATTTTGAAAAAATCGTTGTCGAAAACTAATTTTAAGAATAATAAAGAAAATTGTGATACACATATTAATACAAATTTTATTTTTCTTATGGAGTCTAATTCATTTTATATCTCTTTTCGAGACTTGCTTGTGTTAAATTCATAAAAATATTTTGTCGTTCTCAAATATACTCTCCTCTACAAATTATTCTTTCACAAATCAAGCGTTTCACTCAATATAAATAGGTCAAACATTAACTGGGCAGAGTTCCTACAGAATCTGGAAATCATGGAAATGGTATGGAATTTTTAAAAGGCTTCTGGAAATCATGGAAAATCATTGCAGTCTTTTAAATTCTTATAATTATAATTTTTTTAATGAAACCATATTAAATTCAACAATGTTTTATGACATCTAAATAATTTATTTATTTATAAATTTTATTACACTTATATAAGAAATTTAACAGGGCTCGAAGTAGGTCCGTAAATCCTGAAAAAGTCCGTAACTTTGTTTTAAGTCCGTAAAAGTCCGGTTTTTTGAAAAAAGGTCCATAAAGTCAGTAATTTCATTCGAAAAAGAATCAAAAGTTCGTAAATTGTACGATATAATATTTAGAATTTAAGGGAAACTACAAACGATTGCAGAAATTCAATTATTCTTAAAAGTCTTAAAATTCTTCCCAAACATTCAATTATTTTCAACATTTTTTTAAATTCTGGTCAAAATTTCAATTATCTATAAAAATATTAAAATTCTTCTCCGACATTGAATTACTTTCAAAAAATAATAAAAATTTCATCAGAATTTCATTAATAACAATTTTTTTTAAAAATTTCTTCGCAATCATTTAACTATTTTTATAAATAATAAAATTTTTACGGAGCTTCAATTATTTTCGTAAATAATAAAATTCTTTTTAGCAATTCAATTATTTTCAATAGAATTTTAATCGAATTCCTCGAAAAATTTCTTAAAAATTTTATTACAATTCGTCCAAAGAATTTAATTATTTAAAAATTTGTTGATATATTTTTTACTAGGAATTTAATTCCAAGAAACATTCCATTATTCAATAAATTATTTATTTTTGTGTTTCAATTATTAAATTGGTAGAATTCAATTAAATCAAATCATTGATTTATAAATAGATTTCAGTTAAAATGTTGCATTACAATAATTGAATTCTTCCAATGAAATTCATTAAAATTTTAAAAATGATTGAATTTCAACCAAAAAAAGTTTTATCAACCCTTTTTAAAATGTTTGAATATCTGCCAAAAACAACATTGCTCCCTCATCAAAATTATTCCTCTATTTTCTACTAATTTCGACGAACCAGCGCCACTAATTCCGAGCCAATAAAAAAATTTCCTTTCCATTCTATCCAAAAAATTAGTCTTCCAAAAACAAATTCGTTTTTTCAAGCCAGAGATTTTAGACTCAAGTACTTGTTGTTAGTAATTTTTCTAAAAGCAACTTTGCTCCCTTCTGAAAATTATTCCTCTATTTTCTACTAATTTCAACGAACCAGCGCCACTAATTCCGAGCCAATAAAAAAATTTCCTTTCCATTCTATCCAAAAAATTAGTCTTCCAAAAACACGAAATTCGTTTTTTCAAGCCAGAGATTTTAGACTCAAGTACTTGATTGTTAGTAATTTTTCTAAAAGCAACTTTGCTCCCTTCTGAAAATTATTCCTCTTCTTTCTACTAATTTCAACGAACCAGCGCCACTAATTCCGAGCCAATAAAAAAATTTCCTTTCCATTCTATTCAAAAAATTAGTCTTCCTAAAACAAGAAATTCGTTTTTTTCAAGCCAGAGATTTTAGGCTCAAGTACTTGTTGTTTGTAATTTTTCTAAAAGCAACTTTGCTCCCTTCTGAAAATTATTCCTCTATTTTCTACTAATTTCGACAATCCAGCGCCACTAATTTCGAACCAATAAAAAAATTTCCTTTCCTTTCTATCCAAAAAATTAGTCTTCCTAAAACAAGAAATTCGTTTTTTCAAGCCAGAGATTTTAGGCTCAAGTACTTGTTGTTAGTAATTTTTCTAAAAGCAACTTTGCTCCCTTCTGAAAATTATTCCTCTATTTTCTACTAATTTCGACGAACCAGCGCCACTAATTCCGAGCCAATAAAAAAATTTCCTTTCCATTCTATCCAAAAAATTAGTCTTCCAAAAACACGAAATTCGTTTTTTCAAGCCAGAGATTTTAGACTCAAGTACTTGTTGTTAGTAATTTTTCTAAAAGCAACTTTGCTCCCTTCTGAAAATTATTCCTCTATTTTCTACTAATTTCGACGAACCAGCGCCACTAATTCCGGGACAATAAAAAAATTTCCTTTCCATTCTGTCCAAAAAATTAGTCTTCCTAAAACAAGAAATTCGTTTTTTCAAGCCAGAGATTTTAGGCTCAAGTACTTGTTGTTAGTAATTTTTCTAAAAGCAACTTTGCTCCCTTCTGAAAATTATTCC